CTACCACCACCATGCTTCACTGATGAGGTGGTATGCTTAAGATCTTGAGCAGTTCCTTTCCTTCTCCATACTCTTCTCTTCCCATCACTCTGGTACAAGTTGATCTTGGTCTCATCTGTCCATAGGATGTTGTTCCAGAACTATGAAGGCTTTTTTAGATGTCGTTTGGCAAACTCTAATCTGGCCTTCCTGTTTTTGAGGCTCACCAATGGTTTACATCTTGTGGTGAACCCTCTGTATTCTCTCTGGTGAAGTCTTCTCTTGATTGTTGACACACATACACCTACCTCCTGGAGAGTGTACTTGATCTGGCCAACTGTTGTGAAGGGTGTTTTCTTCACCAGGGAAAGAATTCTTCGGTCATCCACCACAGTTGCTTTTCGTGGTCTTCCGGGTCTTTTGGTGTTGCTGAGCTCACCGGTGCGTTCCTTCTTTTTAAGAATGTTCCAAACAGTTGGTTTGGCCACGCCTAATGTTTTTGCTATCTCTCTGATGGGTTTCTCAGCCTAATGATGACTTGCTTCACTGATAGTGACAGCTCTTTGGATCTCATCTTGAGAGTTGACAGCAACAGATTCCAAATGCAAATAGCACACTTGAAATGAACTCTGGACCTTTTATCTGCTCATTGTAATTGGGATAATGAGGGAATAACACACACCTGGCCATGGAACATCTGAGAAGCCAATTTTCCCATTACTTTTGGTCCCTTAACAAGTGGGAGGCACATATGCAAACGGTTGTAATTCCTACACCGTTCACCTGATTTGGATGTAAATACCCTCAAATTAAAGCTGACAGTCAGCAGGTAAAGCACATCTTGCTTGTTTTATTTCAAATCCATTGTGGTGGTGTATAGAGCCAAAAATTTTAGAATTGTGTCGATGTCCCAATATTTATGGACCTGACTGTATATGGAACTACATCTAGTAGTCACATTCAACTGGACTTGTTCCGTAATGTTAAAGAAACTTCTTGTCATAAATAGTATCATGAAAATGTCCCAGAAGTTTTATGGAAATGCAGATGTTCTAGTCCAAGAACACAATGGGAGATGTGAAAATTGTGGAACCACCCTGTTCTAGTTAGTGTTAATTCTATGATTTTCATGGCTGCAGGTGTGAATTGTAAAAACGACAGGGTGGAGATGTTTAAATGGCATTATATGGGAAAGATAGATCATGTCCAAGGTTCACACCCCTGATCAATGGTGGTTGCTTCATTATGATGTAGATGGCCTCTTTCATCCTTCTTCTGAACTTGTTTTTCCCTCTTTCAAAACATGCACCTCACTGTCCTCAAAACAAGACCCTTTTCTTTTCCTTCCTGTGTGTTCTACTTCTCCCCTCTGTTCAATGGTCCTGTGTTTTTTTTTTTTTTGCTTGACTTGGTGGATGTTTTATTAAAAGGCAAGTCTGAGTAGACTTTCAATTCACTCCTGAGATGTCTGTGTTCTTTGGCTATAAACCGTGTTTTCTTTTACCATCACAGCCCAATGTTGCAAGGTTCTAATTATCCCTAGTTTGTGTTACAGTGAGTGGTGGTAGTCAATAATACAGATACTGGTCTGCGTGGGTTGGTTTACTGTAGACCAGCTGAAGTCAGCTGTCCTCTGTAACATGCAACACCAGGAGCAGACTGACAACTCATGGGGCCCCTGTGTCCTTGCCCAAACTCAAAAAAGCCTATGAAAAAGGTACCGGGGGCATCGCATGGGGCCCCCTACTGACCCCGGGCCCTCGGGCAGTGCTCGGGTTTCCAAATTGTCAGTCCACCCCTGTGCAACACACAGTTCAAAAAGGGTATTGTGCTATTCTGTACCTCTTCCTATGTCAACTTGATGTTTATAGGGTTGATTTTACTAGAAGGTAAATAGGCTATTTATAAAGGTATATTAGTTTAGTGAATGAAGTGAAGCTATGCTGACTTCCATCATCAAATCATGAGCAGAAATTCAGTTTTTTTTTCTTTGCATGTGATTGCGTGTTCTTTGCAAAGTGAATTTTTACCACATTTGCTGAATTAAGTGAAAGCTCCCTTGCAGAGTGAATGGCTTGTTTGCCTTTAGTGAATCAACCAATGTGTTCACTTAAAGCTTGTATTTCTGATGTTCTAATCTTTACCCAAATATCATCCACATACCTGAACCAATGACTTGGTGTTGATTCCCTGAAACTGTTCAAGGTTCTCTTCTCCACCTCCTCCATGTTCAGGCGAATTACAACTGGAGGTAAAGGTGATCACGTGGCAGAGCCATATTTTTGTATTTAGAAGTTATCATTGTACTTGACATAGATGGTGTTCGGTAAAGGCCCAGCAAAGAACATACTTGTTCTGTGTGGATATAAATGCTGGGTATTTTCTCGACACTCTTCAGAGCTGGAGAAGTATATTGGATAAGCTATAAAACATCTTAAAAATTACAGAATAAGTCCATTTAAATGTGAATTAACTACTACTAGAATTATGACCTGGAAAAATTAGAACCTTCACAGACAAGTGGAACTGCCATGAACTAGCTTGTTACTGCTTTGTCATCTGCATTGCTATTAGAATGAATAGTGGTCTGATCCCTTTATTATGTTGAACTTAAAGGACGGAGAATCTTGTATATTTGATAAGGGGGAAGACACCAGCTTTCTTCATCAGAAAATGTAACATTTGATTGTATAACTAGTTTGTCACTGTGCAAATAAGATTTTTTAATGCTTCTCTACAAATGATTATATACAACCAGCTGTGTTTAACCACACACAAGCTAATTATTTTTGATCTCTTCATAGTTTATGTCCAAAGACAAGAGATAATGTTTCAAAGAATAACAATAACAACACAGTAGAATATTAAACTGCTGGAGATAATGTATCATAATATTATATTACAAAGAAAATTATTTAAAAATTTATTAAAAATGGTGATTAAAGGAAACAAAATTAAATACATTTAAAATGCTGGACCATTTTTTCACAGTAAGCTCCTAAAACTTGATCCCAGGGTGTCGTTGGTAGCTATTTAATTGATAAATCTGTGGAAAAACTAGCTGATGTCCTGCACAGATGATGACGAGAATGTTTACAAGTGCTTTTAGTGTTTCACAGAACCTTTATCCACTGTAATCTATAACAGAAATAAGAGTGGTAACGGGCATTCAGATAAAATAAATAAATAATAATTTAAAAAAATATCAGATGATTCTAAACTAAATAAAATGTATCTCATGCACTGAGAAGCTTCCGACTAAATAATCAATATGCCCACTTCATGTACTGAGGTAGCATTGCTCTCTTGCTAGCTGGATTAGCTAGGTGTCTCTCCATCGCTGGTGCTTAGCTGGTGGGGCTATATATTGCAACAAGCTCGCAAAGGGAGTGACACACTAGGACCTGACAATTTGGACCTAAAGTTCTTGCTTATGTCAACCATTGGTATTTATTTAGATTTTGGAAGTTGCTGTGGAAGCTGTTTGTGTTGGATTTTTGGAGAGAGTTGTACAATGCACTTATTCATAATGTTATTAATATTCTTATACCAGAAATTATTTAAAAAAATATAGGAGTTACTTGCTAATATATTTGTTAAGAGATTTCCCACATGCATTATATACTCCAATAAGCATGCCTGCTTTAAGTATGAAAAGGTCCAAGCAAAATACTGATGGGAATCTACTATATACAGTGTGTGTATATATATATATATATATATATATATATATATATATATATATAATTGTTGGTAATAAATAAATTAACCACTTTACAACTGTGCTATAGCCGAATATAGCTACAGCACCGTTGTCCAGTTCTGGGAGGATGTCAAAAGATGTCCTCCCAAAACAGGCCCCTAGCGGCGCGCACCTGGCACTGTCAGTGATCGCTCTGTCATTGGCACAGCTGATCACATGACTAGCTAAAAGACCAATCACAGTGTCCTTTTACCACGTGATCAGCTGTGTCCAGTGATACAACGATCACTGACAGTGCCGGGTGAATGCCGCTGGGGGCCCGTTCTGGGAGGACGTCATATGAGTAAAGTACTGCCGATAATAATCTACAAATGTCATAGAGCAGATCTGCACTGACGATCAGTGCCCTGATCGTCAGTGCCCATCAGTGCCACCCAGCAGTGCTGCCATGCAGTGCCACCCATCAGTGTCCATCAGTGTTGCCAGTCAGTGCCACCTATCAGTGCCCATCAGTACCGCCTATCAGAGGCCTTCATTGCTGCATATCAGTGCAGCATCATCAGTGCCTCTTCATCAATGCCCACCAGTGTCGCCTCATCAGTGCAGCCTATCGGTGCCCATCAGTGCTGACTATCCGTGCTACCTCATCAGTGCCGCCTATCAGTGCCCATCAGTGCAGCCTCATCAACGCACATCAGTGAAGGAGAAAAATTCAGATTGCAAAATTTTATTAATAGAAACGAAGAAAGTTTTTTTTTAAATTTTTTGCTTTTTTTTGTGCAAAAAATTAAAACCTCAGCAGTGATTAGATACCACCAAAAGAAAGCTCTATTTGTGTGAAAAAAAAACTATAAACATTTCATGGGTACAGTGTTGCATGACTGCGCAATTGTCATTCAAAGTGCAACAGCACTGAAAGCTGAAAATTGGCCAGGGCAGGAAGGGGGTAAAAGTGCCCGGTAGGCAAGTGGTTAACCACTAGCCTACAGGGCACTTATACCCCCTTCCTGCCCAGGCCAATTTCCAGCTTTCAGCGCTGTTGCACTTTGAATGACAATTACGCGGTCATGCAACACTGTACCCATATGAAATTTTTATCATTTTTTTGTGACAGATAGAGCTTTATTTTGGTGGTATTTAATCACCTCTGGGTTTTTTATTTTTTTTCTTAATTAAACCAAAAACCACTGAAAATTTTGAAAAAAAAATTGTTATAAAATTTTGTAAATAAGTGATTTTTCTCTTTCACTGATGTGCACTAATGAGGCTGCAGTGATGGGCACTGATAGGCTGCACTGATTGACACTGATAGGTGGCACTGGTGAGGAGGCACTGGTAGGTTGCACTGATGGGCATTGACAGGCATCACTGACGGGCACTGAAAGGCAGCACTGATATATATGGCACTGATAGATGGCACTGACTGGCACTGATAGGCGGCACGGACTGACACTGTTAGGCGGCACTGGTAGGCAGCACTGATGGGCACTGATAGGCGGCACTGATGCACACTGATAGGCGGCACTGACTGGCACTGATAGGTGGCACTGACTGGCACTGATATGTAGCACTGATTGGCAGCACTGATAGGTGACACTGACTGGCATCGATAGGTGGCACTGACTGGCACTGATGGGTGACACTGAAAGGCATCTCAGAGGGGCAATGATATGTGGCATTGATGTGGCACTGATGGGCACTGAAATGTGGCACTGATGTGGCACTGATGGGCACTGGCAGGTGGCATGGATGAGCACTGAGAGCTGGCACTGATGGACACTGACAGGTGGCGTTGCTGGGGCTAAACTGATCTTCAGGGCACACTGATCATCAGTGTAGATGTCCCTTCCAAGGAATGCCGATTACCGGCTCTCCTCTACTCACAAGCTGTCAGCGTGACACAGCTCGTGGGGATAGAAATGCCGATAACTGGCATTTCCCTGTTTACATGTGATCAGCTGTGATTGGACACAGCTGGTCATATGTCTGAGCCGACGTCTTCCGCTCTTTCCGTGGATTGGTGATCCGCTATGTCCAAGGGACACAGCTCATCGCCAATCGCTGCGCTCCGGGAGCCACGCATGCGCGGTTAGAATGGGAGGACATCATATGACGAGAGAATCACCTTGCGTCCGTCATATTACTATATGGCGGGCGGGAGGTGGTTAAATAATAAAAGAAAGTAATTTTACCTGCAGGTTATAGCAGAATGCTGCTATATTTCAGTTGCAGTATCAGCAATTATTTAGTTATTTAACCATCTGGTGCATTGTACAAGGAATGTGACACACTAAGGATAGTGATGACAAAAATTCTTCAAGAAAAAAGTTAACAGGAGAACATGAATAAATATCAGGATGTCCACCATGTTTTCATGGATTTTGTGCAGTGCTTAAAATAGTTGTATGGTTCTCAAGTCCTACCAGAAAGCCTAGCACGTGTATGAAAATGTGCTTGTTGAACAAGTCTGATTGCTAAGATTTTTTATGACTAAGCTTTGGCCTAAACAGTTTCTGTAATTGCAGTTCAATGGTATTTTAAAATAACTTGATTAAAATAAATGAAAATATATAATTGTATCAGCAATTTGTAAGAGCTTTAATAAAAGCCAAGCTGCCGGTGTATTTTGCTCAGCCTTGGCACAGAATACTTAAAGTAGAGCACTGTAATCAGAAATTGTAAATGTGATGTTATTGCATTCATTTTTTGGGGAATTTCTCCAAAAGGGACACATACATTAATAAAAAATTGACAGGGGTTCTAACCCCCACCCTAAGAAAATGGCTATAAATACACTTTAAGCCATATATTAAGCCGTGGCTTGGTACATGGCAGCTTCACATAGTTTTCTATTTTTACTAGAATGTACCATTAAAGTTTTTGTTTTTCTTTACCAATAAAAAATCTAAAGATTGATATGCAATTGACTGATATTACACATGGGTATAGCTTTGACTTTATTGTACTGCATAAGTGACAACAAGACCTTCAGCCTTCTAATGGTTACACCACTAATGTCATCCATTCAGAAAGTGTCCATAGAACACAATGTTTATGAGCAGTGGAAATTCTGAGATCATTGATTAAAAATGAAGGAGATGTGTAACAAGGAGACATCTTCTTGTTGCTGCACAGATTACTAACAGTGAGAGGTGTACATTCAGATTATAGTGAAGAACCTATCTTACCAGGTAAGTCATTTTTTTTAGTTAAAGTCTGTATAACCATTAATTTGTGTTTTCTTGCAGATGGAAGACAATTTAAGACACCCATATGTGTTCCACTGGATGTGATGGACACATTTTCATGCTTCCGTGATAGTCTTCAGAAATCAAAATATTCAAGCAGAGCACTTAAACACAGCAGAAAACTAGTGATGTTATTTCTTGCTTACAGTCAAGGTAAAATGAGTCAAACCTTTGCTTTTATTTGAAAAGCTTTTGATATAGTTATAACCACAACACACTAATGGTTGCTGATACTTGAAAGTTTGTTTGCTTACATGGTACACTTTAAAGGAAACCATACAGCATTTATAATGAAGGACACAGTGAATTTTTATTTAAAGCTTGCACAAAATAAATTTTTTTATAACTTTTGCATTTTAACATTTAACTTTTTCTTTCCATATGAATGTAAAAGAGTGCAGTCAGCATCCTTCCATAATGATTGCTAAGGAAAAGGCAAAACACAGAATTAGCTACAGATTTTACTGGGTTACATAAAATATTATTTGGTCAGATTAGACCTATAAACTTGTAGTAGGAGCTGCAAGGGGCAAAGCAACCCTGCTAAGAAAGAAGCCTTTAAAATGGGCAGAACTGTGGCTAAATGGTTAGCACTTCCGCCTGGCAGTACTAGGGTTTGAATCCCAACCATGTCACCACCTGCCTGGAGTTTCCATGTTCTCCCTGTTCCTGCGTGGGTTTCCTCCGGGTACTCCGGTTTCCTCCCACACTCCAAAGACATGCTGATAGGTTAATTGGCTCTTAGTATGTGTATGTATGAATGTGATTTAGGGATCTTAGATTGTACGCCCCTTGAGGGTTAGGGACTGATGTGAATGTACAATATATATATGTGTAAAGCGCTGCGTAAAATGGACGGCGCTATATAAGTACCTGAAATAAATAAATACATAAAATAACTGCCATTATTACACTGCCCCTAGGTCTTGAAAGCAAATCTAAAATGTGCCAGCATTTATCCTTATATATGTAGCTACTCCCAGTGTGCTCCATTTTGGTCAACCCAGTGTGCTCCATTTTGGTCAACCCAGTGTGCTCCATTTTGGTCAACCCAGTGTGCTCCATTTTGCCAGTCCTGATTTGTGCATCTAACTCCCACTTGCCCTTCCAGATCTGGACTCAAGTGATTAATATAGTCTTAATTTGCGGTTCTTGTTTGGAAAGTTAATTCAAACATACTTACAATTTATTAATGCCCAAAAGGCATTATTGCCAAAATTGTTTTTTTTCTGCAAAATAATTCTAGTAAAAAAAACACTAGTTTATATGCATGCAATACTTCATGTCCCTACAAGATTAAATAAAATAAATTGCTCTAGTTATACGGCAATGGGGTTGATTTACTAAAGGCAAATATAAGGTGTACATTGCAAGTGCAGTTCTACTCTGCAAGGGAATTTGTTACAGAGCTTAGAATATGAGGGGAAGCGCCACTTTACAAAGAATAACCAATCACATGCAAGAAAGATAAGATAGCATTTTACTTGCACATGATTGGACGATGGAAGTCAGCAGAGCTTCCCCTCATTTACTAAGCTCTGGAGCATATGCCTTTGCAGCGTGCAACAGCACTTGCAAGGTTCATTATTTGCCTTTATTAACCGCTTCCCGACTGTCCTATAGCAGAAATACTGCAGCAGGGCTGCACAAAATGACAATATATACCTGATTTTGCATTTCTGGGTAGGTGGTACGTGCGCTGCCCTACTCGCACCTCCATTGGCGGCTACAGTTGTCGATCACTGGAGATTCCCCGTCGGCACCCGTCAATTGCCAAGGAACAGTGAAAGGGGAGAGGTCTTTGAGTAAACAATACAGATCTCTCCCATGTCAGCACCGACATGCATAGCAGAGCAGTACAAAGCAGTATGGTTCCCTAGAAAACATATACAGCACACATAGTAGAGCAGCACACAGCAAACAATTAACCCTTTGATCAACCCAGATGTTAACTCCTTCCTACTCTGTGCCATTAGTACAGTGTCAGTGCTTTTTTATTAGCACTAATCACTGTATTAGTGTCAGTGGCAATTAGTCAGTTCCACCTGTGTCAGAATGCAGGCTGCTGTCCCACTATAAGTCGCTGATTACTAGTATAGAAAATATTAAAAATAAAAAGTCCAGTATATATACCGCCATTGGTAGACGCTATATCCCCTAAACCAATTAATTTACATGTATTGGGATATTTTTTAGCAAAGGCATGTAGAAGAATACATTTTGGCCTAAATTTATGGCAAATTAGATTTTTTTTAAAATGTTTTACTGGATATGTCCTATAGCAAAAAGTCTAAATTTTTTTTTTTCAAAATTGACAGATTTTTTCGTTTATAGTACAAAAAGTAAAAAACGCAGAGGCGATCAAATACCACCGAAAGAAAGCTCTATTTGTGGGAAAAAAGGACATAAATTTCATTTGGGTGCAGCACAGTTGTCACTTAAAATATTGCAGTGCTGTATCACAAAAAATGGCCTGGTCAGCAAGGGGGGGAATCCTCTGGAGGGCAAGTGGTTACATTAAAACCAAAGTATTCCTGTTTTATTCTCTCTGTAAATGTTTTTGAGTGCAACACCTTAAGTATTCTAAGCTCACTTCTGACTGTATCACTTCTCACTCACAATAGAAGTGGTTAATCAAAGATAGAGGTCACATGTTGAGTGAACAAAATGCAGAATATGTCTTTTTTTCCAGTCTTTTCCATGTTTATAAATGTTCCAATTTTCTGCTCATGCAAATTTATGCTAAAGCATTTCAGGCTAAGAAAATAATATTTAACCAGATGGTGATGCTGACACCTGTAGTCACTGAGCTCTCAACTAATATAGGTCACTCACAAAATTGATAGTGCTTTCCATGGTAACAGAAGGATTTAAGTGTTTTGTGTAATATAACGTTTCTGGAATACTGCAAGCAGTAACAGCCTCAACAAAACAAGAAAAAAAAAGTACGGGGGGCTATAAATTAACAGTTTACAAAGCTGCACTACAAAAATTATTCTTTTGTGGGTATATATGTGGCAGAGCAGTACTATAAAGATGTCAGATTTTTACTAACCATTTTTTTTTTCTTGCTGATGGGCTATAAATTCAGTATATCATTGCATAACACCTATCTGTAGTGCCCGAACAGAGCAGCCAGATAAATCCTACAAGTTGCCATACAGAGAGATAACACCAGATATTTGGAAAGAGACATATCAGCATATGTATGTAGAGCCATATCTAGAACATGCAGTCAAGTATAAGTGTTCTATGAATCTCACAAACAAAAATGAAGCAAGCGGCTGCTGACTAGACATATGACACCAAGACAGCCTACTAAAGTATGATTGCACCAGAATTGAGACAATCAGGAGAGATAATTACAATTATTACAGTGAAGGCTTGATTATAAACTATCTATGCCACGATTTGCTGATTATGCTGTTGTGTGTAGCTTACAAGTATATTTTTTATCTTTATTTAGATAATTTGTACATAGTCTGAGATTTGTCATAATTGTATTTTCTTTTTAGACTTAAATATACAAGAAAGGTTGAGCGGTATGCACACCTCCTATGGAAAAGTTGGTTTCTCTGCAGGAGCATTACAAGCTCATCAGTCTGTCCCTCCAGACCTTTCAGAAGAAGAATTTCTCTCTGTGTTTTCAATTGAAAACAAGCCAATTCCTTCTTCACAACTTTCAGTTGTTATAACTTCCTATGACAAGACTATTGGTAAGACATTTATTCTTTGACTGATAATAAGATGTGCTGTTAGATCAATTAATCTGTGGGTTGGGGATTAATGTCTTCCAGATCCAATAAGTAATGCAAAGCCAGACAGTGACAGGAAAATTGTCTCAAATATATCAAGTTAGTTTAATCTTCTGCTGAAATGTAGGGGGAGGGGACAATCCAAAGGATAGATTAGTATGCATATGGAATTTTATAGTGTTACCATTCTTTAAACAATTCAGCTTCCCAACAAGAGCTGAATATTGTAAGCCCAGACACTGCTCCCTGTCGTAGTATGCCATGCACTTGCCAATACATCATTTATCTTTTACTGACACATCCATTTATTTGCAAATTTGTTTCCACACAAACAAATTATAGGTTAACCTAATAAGTAAAGGTCCTGTGAAAAAACACAGCCTGTTCTAACCAATGGAAGTTGTGGCTTTCATTGTACGTTGTAGCTGGAGGTAATTCACATCTCAATGGTTTTTATTCATTTTATTTTTGTGCACATATTCCATTAACAGCAAAAGAAGCACCTCTTCACTCAGTTTTTTTTTTTACTAGGACAATCTTTTTTTCATCTAAGTCGGTCATATTATTAAAAAAAAAAGATATACACATTAAAGCTTGAAGCTGAACTACAGACTTACCTAAAGTACAGTTACAGGCTCCTCTTCAGTACTGTAATTTCTTACTTTAATTTCACTATACACTAGGAGCTTTTTACAGTATGCGTTAGAAGCTGCAGCAAGCCAGAAAGAATCTGCCTTATTTCCTGGAGGATGTCCATCATTGTCCATTCTTTTGCTCCCCAACACCCCTTTAATTTATTGGATTTTAGTTCTTTCAATCATGGAAACTTGACATAACGTGGTCATTACCTAGAGTATTCTGCATGCAAATACAATCTACTTGGAACACCCACTCCTGTGACTGACATCCATGCATCAAGGCATTTAGATATTTGCTTAACTCCTTCCAAGAGCCAGCCCACTGCTTGCTTCAAGGGTGAGGGCTCTTGAGAGGAGTACTGAGGCATGGCAGTGTGATGTTTTCAGAAAGCTCAAAATTGACAGTCCCTTTCCCCCCGCCATGATCTGACTGCCTTGCATAAAGAAGCAAAGAGACCCAATGACGATATCACTTAGTCTAAAATAAGGCATGTAAGGAAAACAGATAATTAAAAAAAATTAATTGCCATGCTGATCGGGTGGAAGGAGGAATCAAGAAAAGCAAAATATAAGTAGATTAAACTTTGGCTGTAACCCAATTTAGTATATACTGCAAATGCAGTTTAAAGTTGGCCATACATACAAGGAGGATGGAGGAATCCTTCTCACTGTGTCATTGTATTCTGACTCTCCTGACATTAGAATACACTGATCAGTGTTGCAGCTAAATGGCTGCAGTATTGATCGAATCAAAATTTTCCAACAAGTCTGTTCATGGGAAGTCAATCATTAGATTGTCTTCTCATGAACAGGAACGGCCATAGATGGATTGAAATTCAGTTGGTCCCTGCTGAACTGGCTGAATTTTGAACCATCTATGGCCAGATTAGGGGTTTCATGCTGACAAATGAATGTAAAAAAAAAGGGGAACCCCACGCCATATTTTTTTTTTAAAATGGTGTGGGGTCCCCCCCAAAACCCATACCAGACCCTTACCTAAGCATGTAGCCTGGCAGGTCAGGAAGGTGGGGGGGGAAGTGCACCCTTCAAAGCACCTTTTCCCTGTGTTGATGAAGACAAGGACCTCTTCCCCACAACCCTGGCCGGTGGTTGTAGCGGTCTGTGGGCTTATCAGAATCTGGAAGCCCCCTTTAACAAGGGGCCCTCAGATCTCACCCACCATGTAAATGAGTATGGGTTGGTGATGTCATGGGGGGTGGGGTCTCCCAGTGACATCACTTGATGGCCCCGCCCCTTTGTTTTTGAAGAGCTGCCAGAAGCTGAGATCTTTCGCCGAGTCCGGAGGTTTTATGAATCTTTTTTCGGGGTGGTGGTGGCGCGGCGGTGGCGTGATTGACGATGGATCTACCCCAGGGGGATTTTTTTTTTCAATAAAGGACTTTTCAAAAATGTGTGTTGTTTTTATTTGCTTTTTTTTGGTGAATGAGTAGGGATACTGTGGGAAAGAGGCCCTTGTCCTCATCAACATGGGGACAAGGTGCTTTGCTGTCCCAAAGCACCCTCCCATGTTGAGGGCATGTGGCCTGGTATGGTTCAGGAGGGAAGAGGCGCTGACTCGTCCTCTCCTTTCCTGACCTGCCAGGCTGCATGCTCTGGTCTGGTATGGAATTTGGGGGGGGACCCCATGCCATTTTTTTTTTGCCGTTTTGGATCTGGTATGGATTTTAAGGGGAACCCCCACAATGTTTTTTTAACCTTTTTTTTTTTTAGTGCTGGCAATTTATTTTTTTGTACATTTAGCTGACAGCTGATGACAGGGGGCTGGCTTCCCAACCCTCTCCTAAACAATGGCCCCGCTTCTTAATGCTGTAGCTACTAAACATCGCTTACACACTAGGCTAAACATTGCTCAACGCTGTCAAAATACTCTAAAACATTAGTGTTTTTGGTCCAGTGTATTTAAGCAGTTTCTAGCTTCTCTAGTTTGCATGAGACCTAAGTTATGTCCCTTGTGCCAATTTTTCTGTTGTGTTTATTTATTTTAACTACACTTGGGCTACACTGGTGTGCAGACTAGGCACTACAAAGGATTTATTTTTTCTGAACAGGTGGTAAAGCTGCTTTAAAGCAAGCCCCTACTCACCATTGTAGCTGTAGATACTGTGGATACATTTGTTGTTAAACGTCACAACCAAAGCACTGAAATATCAGCTCTTTTCTATGGAGAGCAAAATCTTAGCATTCTGTTGGCCCTCTAATGTAAACAAGCATGAGGTGTTTCTAAGCTGTGAGAACCTGTCCAAAACCAACTGTAGAGCCTTTGTTGAGATTTTTGAGATTAAATTGCTTTACAGTAAGTGCAGCCAGAGAGGTTAGTGATAGCTTGTTTTAATACTCTGTTACTGCTTGTTAAGACTGTGTAAATACATTAATGTCCATAGTCTGGGTACAAGTGCCCTTAACGTCATGGTACATGTAATCAGAGCAAGTTGGTATTAGTGTTGAATGTGGGCTTTCGTTGATCACTGTTCATTCTGAAAGAGGAGTAATTAAAATATCCTATGTTCTGTACAGTGTATAGAACCCTCCAAACCCAACTCAGCAAGGGCCTGTGTTGATCAGTTTTTAGTTTGTTTCAAATCCGTTTTGCATTCTAATACAAGACTATGGGAATATAACGGAAACTTGAAGCAGGTCAAATCTAGATCAGAAGGGTGTCAACTGCAGGTTGAATGCACCTGTCAATGAATTCTGAATCATCTCAGAGGCATCCTAAACTGATATCAAACTGATGCTATCAACAAAAGCTCAAAGATTGTCAATACCGACCTTTACTCAGTTGATTGGCAATAAAGTCAACCTTTTGTTTGGGTGCAGGAACTGTATGCTAGTCTCTATGGCCAAATGAAGGGTTCACAGTCATTCTCATAATTGTGTCTTTATTGTTTACACAAAGTAGATGTGAAATTACATTGTACTGTAACATTACATTTTTTTATAATTGTTAATAACTTTATTAAACAGAAATCCTTCATTCGGACAGACAACAGAGTCTGAAAGCACAAGCCCTCCATGAACTTGGCAATCTTTATCTGTATGCAGGGAATAAAAGGTAATAATATTTAACTTATTGTTTTCAAATATAGCTGTATGCTTAATACGATTGGTAAAGAGAAGTTGCAAGTGACAACCAAGTAGGTTCATGATTTTTTTTGAAACCTTTGTACTCACAGAATCCCTTTTGCAATCTTCTTGCTATAAAAACAATAATTCCAATTTTACTTGTGCAAGGTTTTATGTCTTGGTTTCTGTGTGTAGTGACGTACAGCTGATGGTTGATCTGGACTATTTTTTGTAAGCTAATGCAGTGCGTTTTACAAGTCATTATTGAATACTTTGATGTTTTTCTGTAAAAGTATAAGAAGATGTGGTCTAGTGTGTATAACCTGTAGCTATTTTTGGATACTGTTTTTAAAGTGTATGTTACCCCAACATTTCACATTCCCGATATGTGTCTGTTGCACCATGTACTTGTATTAAAAGTATCCTGTTTTCTTTGCATTTGCTTCCTTTGTGTTAAATACTTGGTGATGCTGCCAGTCCCCCTGCTTTCCTATTTGAAATTGACCTCATTAGAGCATGAATGCAGATCTGTCTCAGCGTAGTCGGTTTTCTAATTGGGAGAACAGCCTGTCTGTTCTCCGATGGTCAGATTTACGGTGACACGCATTCCTGCTCAGCTCTTCACTGGGAAGATCAGTATATGGCTGTTTCTCTACCTCCTGCTGACACCCCCCCCTCCCCCACAGTCTCCACCCCCACCTCTCTAAGCTCTTTATGCAGATGAGAACAGAGGTCATATGATCACTTATAAAAAAAAAAAATGAAAAAATATTTTATATATATAAAAAAATACACATACACTATGTTGCTAAAAGTATTGGGACACCTGCCTTTACATGCACATGAACTTTAATGGCATCCCAGTCTTAGTATGTAGGGTTCACTATTAATTTGACCCATCCTTTGCAGCTATACCAGCTTCAACACTTCTGGGAAGGCTGTCCACAAGTTTTAGAAGTGTGTCTATGGGAATGTTTGACCATACTTCCAGAAGTGCATTTGTGAGGTCAGGCACTGATGTTGGATGAGAAGGCACCTTAAGAGTTCCTTTTACTAGAACTAAGGGGCCAAGTCCAATCCCTGAAAAACAACTCCACACCATAATCCCCCCTCCACCAAACTTTACACTTGGCACA